CTTTCCTCTTTATTTTACATCCTTCATTCCCTACTTACAGCCGGCAAGTGTAGGTGCCTCGCGAGCTGATGAGCAAGCCTCGGCCTCAGCAATCAAGCAGTCGATGCCTTAGGTACTTGGTATCAAAGGAGGGGAGGAGGGAGGGTTCGCAAATCCTAAACCCTGAACCCTAAAGCCCAAGTTGTTTCAACGCCCAAAAGTCTGACTCGAGGTACAAGAAGGTCATTGCCCAAAAGTTGGACCATGGCCAGCGACGGAAGGCTTTGTGAAGTATTGGTATTTCAGGTCTGCTAGCTTTTATTTGGGGTATATATCAGGGTATATATTGGGGTTATATTGTGAGAATGGAAAAGAAAATGGACACTACTACAATGGGGTTATATATAGGGATTATATTAGCGTATATATTAGGGTCATTTTGGGATAATGGAAGATAAGCTGGAAACTACTATAGGTGCAATCCATCAGCTTACGGCGAAGCTTCTTTGCCTCCCGGAGAGAATGCAGTCACAAGAGGATTGATTCGAGCTATAGCCTACACTCCTAGTATTCCTCTCATAACCCCTATAGTGCTCCCCCATATAACCCTCATTAAGGAGTTTAGACAATAGCTCATTTGTTGATAGAGGTGCTGTTAGTCGGAGCCTGTCAGTGTCCCCTGCAGGGAGATCGACGTCCTGCACAGCCTGGCCAGACAGCTGAAAGGCCAAGCGTCAGAACTGTAAGAAAAAAACAAAACGACAGCAGTATTTGTAGTAATAGTCGTACTACTAGCAATATGAATAGTAATAGTACTAGCAATAGTAATCGCAATATTGACAGTAATTTTAGGTACAGTAATATGAATAGCAATAGGAGCACGCACTGCACCAACACTGACAGCTGACAGAATGCAGGTCGGGAGCCTGCTTGGAGCCTCCTACCGTGCCTCTCCTAGAAGTTTTCCTGATAATGATACTAGTAGTCATAATAATAGCAGTTATTGTAATAACAAAGATACTTATAACACTAATGTTGCAGCCCTGGAGCCCAGGCAACCGTCCGGGCGCCGCAAGCGCCGTCAGCACCGCAACTGCCGCAAGCGCCGCAAGCGCCGCAAGCGCCGCAGGCTAGGAGCCCGGTTCAGAAACAGCTTTCTCTTGGCCATTCAGCACCCCATTCTCCCAATATATCCTTTAAGATATCCCTGTAATATCCCTATATAACCCCATTATAGTAATTTCCATTTTCTTCTCCATTCTCCCAATATACCCCCAATAAAACCCGTGCAATGTTTACGTCATCTTCCCAACTTGAAGGCTGAATTAAAACCCTGCAGGCGTGGTTAGAGCTGCCTCCCTATGTGAGCTATATGTATGATAGTATATATTTTCTTTTATATCATAGTATATATATATAGATATACTAAACTCCTTAAAGGGGGGGTATATAGGGGATTAGATAGGGGACTAGTATAGAACTTAGTAAGGGGCATACGAGGAGTTTAGACTATAGCTCATATAACCCCAATATATATATATATACACTGTTATTATGTAGTAGCTTCCATTTTCTTTTCCATCATCCCCATATAACTCCTACATTCCCATATTCCCTACTAACTGACCATAGACACTAAACCCTAAACCCTAAGCCCTAAACCCTACAACAGGGATTACTAAGGGGGATACTAGGAGTTCCTACTATAACCCATAAGGGTGGTTGTCAAAATTATGGTCCCTTTTGGAATAATACGGCACCTAATTTTTATGGTACCCAAAAAGGGACAATTAATTTGACAACCAAGGCTCCAACACAAGCTGCGGGGCCTGCAGCTGCCATGCCCGCATCGCCCTGCCGCCACGACTTGGCTAAGGGGAGACCTGGACTTTTACCATCTGAGGGTTTAGGGTTTATTGATTACTATATGTCTACCCATTATAGTACAACTCAGTCTAGTAGAGGCTTAACTGTGGGGAGACGCTGAAAGGCTGCACAACAGAAATCAGGGAGATAGCTTGGTCCATATTTGGCAGCCTTAACAATGCTTCCCTCAGTGTGTAGGGTGGCCAAAAGGGGACCGCAATTTTGACACTACCACATCCCACTTAAACCCTAAACCGAGATCCCCTGCATCCTATTGCCAGGCAGTACCCGTGGCCTCCCCCGGCGGCTCCAGGTGGCACAGGCTTCCGGCAATTGAACATTGTGGCTTAGGTGGACCCCTACCCTGTGATAGCTTTAAAGTCGGAATATAAGAGGACCCTCTACAGAATTACCGTTATCCCTTATGGTCACTATTACAAGGAGGGGGGTCCACCTAAGTTCTTGGGACTTTCGTAAGACTGTCCCTGTTAGATACCTTAATACCGGATCATGACGGTCGTGCTTCTTGGTGGATTTAGGGGACCAGGGAAAGCAGCTCTGCAGAATGCCAGTTGCACGATGGTCAGTTTCAAGAAGGTTGGATGGGTTAGCAATTGTAGATGCACAGAATAGGAAGTAGAGAGTGGGGTTGATGTCTGATGCTCAGCTCTTTGTTGTTCTGGTCCGGTGCCAGGAATGTCAGCCGTGCCCACCCCTAGACTTCCGACCGGCGGAGGCACCTGCCTAAACCCTTCGATAGTAGCTTCCATTTTCTTTTCCATTCTCTCTACATAATCCCCAACATATCCCCTAATATAATCCCTATATAACCCCATTGCAGTAGTTTCCATTTTTACCATTATCTCTACCCAATATATCCCCTGATATAATCCCTATATAACCCTATTGTAGGAGTTCCATTTTCTTTTCCATTATCCCAATATAATCCTTATATTCCCCCTATATTATATTACCGCTTCACGTCATGCGGGCCACGGGAGTAGGAGATTCGCGTCACGTGTCAGGCCCAGGCAATGTGTACCAACAGCCAGGTCCTCGATGCTTGAATCTTGTGGGCCCATTTCTTGCTTGGCTCCGGCAACGGTCAGATGGACGCAGAAGCTCATTTGCAAGCGTCTCTCTGGTTGAAGTTGAGGCCATGGGTGCCGAATGCCGGTGTCCCAGAGAGACTCTAGTGATAGCCTTGAGCTTCTCAAGTGAGTTTTTGTGGTTCCTGCAGAACGGTGGGCTGGTAGACAGCTACGCTTGCCTCAGGAGCCAACTCCAAAAGTTATCATACCCACTGCAGGGAAAGCCCCAAAAATCCTATCCTCTCCCATTTTTATCGGAATTCTCGCAAATGGGTGGCATGCAGGTGCGCTCAGGCGAACTCCCGAGGCCGAAGCATGGCATGGAAAAGCTGGCGGGTTCATACTGGCAACCTACAGGATTTTCAAATTTAGGGCGTTTCCAAATTTCGAGTGGTGTGTGATACTATATCTTTGATACTGTATTACTTCTGAGGAAGATAATCCTAACCCGCAAAACCCGTAGACCCAGCCAGAAGAAGCTCCTCCTGCAGGTATCCGCTGCCTGTGGGACCTGCGCTGTTCACGCCAAGGCATTCAGGGTACCCATTGGGGTAATATCAGGGGTTATATTGGGGAAAAAATGGAAACTACTATTTAAGGTTCAGGGTGATCACCAAGCGTTTAGGGTTTACGGTTATTTGATGTTGGCGTTGACCTGGACATGTTAGTGTTTCGATTCGTCACTCCGCAAGTGCACTGTGTAAGCGGGTGTATGTTGCAAGTTTGCGATGGAAGCAGTCGTGATAATTATTGACCATGCTCCCCCTGATCACTGACATGAACTGTGCAAGCCGAAGTGTTGGCATCCCTAAGCCTTAGAACCCTAAATCCTAAACAGTAGTTTCCATTTTCCGTTATCCCAAAATAGTATAACCTTTATATTATCTTTAAAATATCCCTATATGACTCCATTACAGTAGTTTCCATTTTCTTTTCCAGTATCTCAATATATCCCTAATATAGCGTCTAGTATTACTGCAATGGGTACCCTGAAAGCCATGGTGTTGCCATACTGCTGGCTGCCAACTCACGAAATCATCGCTCTTCATGCAATACGGCGTGATATGAGCCATAGTCTACACTGCTCAAAGGATGGTTATATGAGGGGATTACAAGGGCTTACCAAGGGGGATACCAGGAGTTTAGACTATAGCTCATATTGTAGACTCAACACCATGGGCCAAAACAAGCCTTTGACCAGGTGGCTTCAGGCAAAGGCCCCATGCCACACTCCCAATAACAGGTAGCATTCCTGCCCGTGAGCAATTTGAAAACTGTGGGACTTACCATTAACCCCTATACGACCTCTGTATAACCTCTATAATCCCTGCAGTTTCCATTTTCCTTTCCATTCTCCCTATATACGGAGTCTGTTTTCTGTTTGCGAACTTAGATTGCGTTGCAAGATTTGAGCATTTTGCCAGTCCGCCCGCCACTGGCTTCCCTTCGATGCTGCCACAGCCACTCCCTGAGGAGTCAGGACCAAGTTGATGGGCTGAAGTTTAATACAATAGAGTATCTTATAGTATGTTATAGTATATCATAGTATATTGTAGTATCTTATAGTATATGATAGCATCTTATAGTATCTTATCGTATATTATAGTATATTTGGCACCACTTTGATAACTTTTCTATTGATGTGGGTAAGTGCTTGAATGTACCCGCTGAGGCCATCGACGCCGGTTGCGGCCACTTGCTGGAACTAAGGGACATTCCAAGACCTGAGAACTCAGCCAGTCCGAGCCAAGACATGACGAGCCTACAGTATACTATAGTATATTCTAGTTGACTACCGTATATGATAATATGCAAGAATCTACTATCACATATATACCTCAACATACTATACTGTAGTATATACTCGAGTTTTTAAGGGCGAGGGTAAGAGTTAGATGTCTGGTTTTGGCATATGTGACCTGCCCGACGAAGCCTTCCAGTCACAACAAGTAAGCCAAAAGGAATCACCATTTTGGATTTTTGGGACTGGGCGTTACGGACAGGTAGCAAATGCAGAAGCCTGGCTCAAACTGGGAGATGATGAGCAGTTGCCTTTGTCCGGCAATGGACACCAACTGCACCGAGCACAAGGACCCTACGCACAAGCTTGTTGAAGAGGTGCGGCAGTGGGCATGCACGCTGTTACATTATTCTTGCGGTATCTAGTCGCCAGCTCAAAGAAGCAGAGTCAGATGACATGCAGTGAAGCGTCTGTGCCAGGTGCTTGAGAGGCAACATGGTGAGTTGTTGCTTCGGCTGGAGAAGTGGCTTTCCAAACTGGAGGAGCAGCTGCCAAGTCGCGAAGCTCGCGACTTGGACTGGGCACGAGAGGTGACCCCAGCGGTGACAAACCGTCTCTCTGGCATGTCCGTGCGCTCCGCCCGCTCCAGCCGCAATCGGACTGGGACTGGAGACGAGGAGGACATAAGGCGCGAGGAGAAGCCTCAGAGGAGGTCGATTCATTCGGATGACTATGAACTGGCACAGTCTGAAGCCGACCGTGTGGAGTCCATGAAGAACATGACCATGGCATCCCGTCAAACCTCAAAGACGAAAACGAAGCTTCAGTCCTGGGCCAAGAAGATTCAACAACGCTCGGCCAAGATAGCCAACTCTCTTGCTTTCAACATCTTCTTTGGTGTCGTGCCTCACCTTCACTGCTCTTTCCCCCTACTGCCCTTAAACCCCTCCAATTTGGGGATTCCTTCGAGCAAGTCTCCCAACCCAGGGATCCGTATGTTTTTTCTAAAAGTAAGGGGTACCTTTTTTGGGGGTCCCTATGATAAGGATGATTTGTTCAAGGGTACACCTATACCCTCAAACCGGATTACAACACACTAGGGTCTATTTTGGCGTCCTCCGATTTGGGGAGATGGCCATGTTCCAGGGGGCCTTAATCATGTGAACCCCAAAACGAAAAAGGTGACATCGGAGAAACGCTCAGAACGTAAACAGGTCATCGCCTCCAAAACCCTAAAACGACCTAAAACCTAAACATCCCCAAAGGGCCCAAAACCCTAAATCCTAAACCCTAAACCCTAAACTATTGAACAAAGAGCCCATGGAATGAGGTGATTGTCTCCAATTCTGTCTTTCTGGGCCTCCAACTCGAATGGAGTGCTTGGCAAGTTGATCAGCTAGTGGAGCCTGCGCTCTGCGGCCCACATTTAAGAAGACTTCCGCTATAGGACTATGAGTTGATGGGTTTAGGTTTCGGGATTTTCGGTTTAGGTTTTGGGGTTTAAGGTCTAGAGTTTAGGTTTGGGGGTATAAGGTTTAGGGTTTTGGGTCTAGGTTTTGGGGACGGTGGGAAGCTCCACCCCTCAAGATGTAGGAGACGTGGGAGTTCATCAATACATCCCCCATGGACTTCCATAATCCCCATGATCCTACATACTCCTAGGGCCCTAGCGAAAACCCCATGGACTGAGGTTTCTGGCTGGGCACTTGATCTACGCAACCCTCTTCTCAGTAGAGACTGGGCTTGTGACAATATGTGATGCCGGCAGTGCGGGGCAATCTGACGTAGTGGTGGTCAGTAGGGGATGGAGGCATGGATCCCTATCCTAGTCCCCGTGCGACTCTAGCAGTCCCTATCTCTTGATCCCTGCTAACCAGCAGTAAGCAAGGCTTACTTCTGCAAGTTGAGTAAACTGAAGTGCTCTAAGTCGAGATTGGTTTGCAGCTGGGATTCCTTTCGCCGCGTGTGTAGTGAGCAAAAACAGTCCTCGTGGGCCGCTTGCATGATAGGCAAGTTGCATTCAGAGTTCTGTTGACAGCAGCTGAAGTTGAAATGAAGGCAAAAGGTTTGCAATGAGCAGCAGTAGTTCGTAGCCATGGCTTCAGCGGTGGTGGAGCAGGAGGAGGAGGTAGTGAGGGGTGACAGGATGATGGAAAAAGCGGAAGGAAAAGCTGCGACAGTCAAGGAGTGCAACATCTAGCGAGCGCAAGCCAACCTTTGTTGCAGATCCGTGCAAAGTCAAGCAAGGTTGAGGCAAAGACGCGTAACTTGAACACCTCCAGAAGCTGAACTCAAGCGCAGCAAGTAGAAGGTGCTGCAAGTCTTTCAAACGCTACGAATCAGACTGCCCAGGAGATGTCCATCCGCTTCATTGCCAATGGTCCAAGGACCTATTTCTTCGGCAGCTCGTGTGCCTGGAATTGGCTGGACATATTTGCCACTTGGTCGCACTGGAGACGTCATCTAGGTAACATGCTATATCTCCTTAATTTGCTGGTGTTTAGCAGGGAATAAAGGCAGATGATCCCTATACTTAGGGTTTAGGGTTTAGGGTTTGTTTAGGGTTTAGGGTTTAGGTTCCATTCCCAACTAACATCCACCTGAACCCCAAACCCTGAACCCTAATCTCTATAAACAGCAGTTTCCATTTTCTTTTCCATTATCCTTATACTACGCAGCATATACCCTACTATAATATAGTCGTTTCCATTTTCTTTTCCATTATCCTTGTTTTTCCCAGTCTATAGCCTATTATAATCTAGTCATTTCCATTTTCTTTTCCATTATGCCTCCATGATAGGCTTCTTGTAGCCCTTACAGTAAGAGGTAGGTTCCCTCATCTAGATCTCGGGGTTTAGGGCTCAGGGTTCAGGGTTTAGGTTGAGGATTTAGGGCTTAGGGTTTAGGGTAAGTTTCGGGCTTAGCGTTCAATAACGGCCCTTCTAGAGTCCCAGCAAAGGTCCCTACAAGCCATTCCCCCTTCCCTACGACCCGCCTAGAACCTAAGCACGAGTTTCGCATGGCAGTCTCTGCCCGCGAACCATGCATACTTAACACATTTCAAAGACGTAGGTTTCTTGGCCGTTCCCCTAAGCCAAATTCATACAGTAGTTTGCGGTTTCCAAAAAGGGGCCCAACATAGATCCCCAAACAGTATCATCCTTCTTATAACTGTCTCTGAAAAGGGACCTCATTTGTGGAAGGCCCCCTGGACAGTCTTGATTACACCCCAAACCCAAAATAGTCGTTTCCGTTGTGTTGTCTTTTCCTAATCCCACAACTTGACAGTTTCCATTCCCCCTTAACTCTATTTTGTATATCCAGAAACTCAAAACCCTAAACCCCCATTCCCCCTTAATTCTACTTCACTTTTCCATCATCCCAATTTTACCCCTACAATATCCCTATACAATCATTATATAATCCGATTATAGTGGTTTCCATTTTCTTTTCCATTCTCCCACTATATCCCCAACATAGGCTCTAAACCCTAAACCCAAAATCGCGTGAGATTGTGGTGCCAGCCCTAAACCCTATATAACCCTATACAAGCCTATTAAACCCTATATAACCTTACATAACCCCATATATGAGGTTGTGGTGCCAGCTTGGGTTGAGATTTGCATGGACATCGCATCCGCCAACTCCTCAGAGCCTGGAACCGGTGCCAGCAACTTCCGCATCATTCGGGCATCTTGGCTCCTTAGAGTTCAGGGTCATAATTAGGGAGTATTATTGGGATAATGGAAAATAAAATGGAAACTACTATAATGGGTTATATGGGGATTATATGGTATATATTGGGGTTTAGGGTTAAAGGTTGAGAGTTTTGAGGTTTTAGCTTTGAGGTCAAGGGTCGAGGAGAGAGGGTCTAGGGTCAAAGGTTGAGGAGGGTCGTCTGTTTCTGCTGGAACTTCCCAAAATTCTGACGGCTTTACAGGACCACTTTGCGAGTCTGGTTTTTAGGGAGATCCTTTGGATGTTAGGACATGGTGCCCACGGTGCGAAGATTCCCTATATATCCCTTATATAGTCTTATATAATGTAGTTGTTTCCACTTTCTTTTCCATTACCCCCCATATGACCTCTATATAACCCCTACTTGTATTTTCGATTCTGAGGTCTTCAAACTGACCAGGCTCTTACAGGTGCTGCGGTCGGTCCGGATTGCGCCTGAGCAGCAGATCTCCAGTATATGAGCCAAAGTCTATAGTCCTTAAACGGGGTTATGTACGGCATCATATAGGGGATTCCTAGAGGGGCGATTAAGGGGGATACTAGGAGTTTAGACTATGGCACGCATGCCCTTGTCAAGCTTGTACACTTGAGCAGCTGTGGCATATGAGTAAAGTTTGCTTTGTCGTAGTCGTAGTGTCGGACGACCTGCAAACATGCTGTCTCGCGATAACAATCCAAAAATCTGTGATTTGGGCAGAGACAGTTGAGACGAAGCTCTTTCAGCTTTGCTGAGGTTCGATTCGTCAGCGCGTTTCGTGCACTTGTCTACTCAGTTATCGACACGACGCGACAGCTGAGCCTTTGCTGGAAAACTTGTCCCTGCCTAATCTCTCATGGGATTCCTCACTTTTACGATTATTGTATGGGTACATCAAGATGACCCGGAAATATCCGAGTGGTGTAAAATTGGTCCTAAAACCCCAAACCGTGTGGCTGAACAGGCTTTGGGCCATGGTATTGCTGATCCTCATAATCTACAGCTTCGGAATCCTTTTCACGGATGCAGTGCTCTATCATTTGTGGCTTGGCTTGAAGTGGGGTTGTTTCCGGAAGTCCGCATTTCCAGCGCGGACTCGAGTCTCATGGTAGATGGAGAATGATGGAGACATTTTAGCCAAGATGGTCTCTCTTGTCCATAGAAACATTTAACCTTTACCAAGTCAAGCCCTGAGACTGGTTCGTCTAGGGCAGCGCGGCACAGCGGTTTGAGGGCTGGCATTCGACGGGATGAACGGTTTCTTGTATCGTGCAGTGTTGTCGATGGAAAAAATTACGAAAGCTTCCTCCAGCTTTCGTCCAGGTCCAGCTTTGCTAAAAGTGGTCAAATTTGGCCGTGTTTCGCGGGCCAGACCCCACCGCAGGAGGGTCTTGGGGAGGCCTCCTTTCGGGCCTC